TTTGCAGAGCTCTATCTATCCTCAAGAGGGCCTTTATGCTGTTCAGAACATCTATTGCATGATCTAACTCCTTCCCCTTAGAATCTTTTCATGAATTTATTCTTTATTATAAAATGTGAAAAAAACTTCATTAACAAAGAAAATAATTATATTTAGATTTTTTTTAATTGCTGCGCCTTAAAAGCAAAACTCTTTCTGGAAAGCAAAGGACCAACCTGAAGTTGGAGAAAGCTAGGGCACATCCAGATGGAAGATTCCTAGGGTTTACAGTCAAAGGACATTGAGCAGCTTTTCTACTTTTTTCTCCTCACCCCCTCCCCCGTCCGTGTGTGTGTGTGTGTGTGTGTGTGTGTGTGAATAAAGGAGTAAGAAGATGCAGAAGAAAATCTCCAGAAGATAGACTCAAGAGAAAACAGGATCTTGACAGACTTGAACACCAAGCCTTATCTAACAAAATGAAATTCAATGATGAGAAAAGTAAGGTTTTATATTTAGGCAAGAAAAAATAAATGCACAGGCAGAGAATAGGTGGTACTTGGCTCAATAGTAGTAACTACGAGAGGAATCTTGGAGTCCTAGTGGACAATCACTTAAATGTGAGCCAGCAGTGTGTTGCAGTTGCCAAAAAGTCAACACAGTCCTAGGCTGTATTAAGAGAAGGATAGAATCACGATCATGTGAAGTGTTAAGACCACTTTATAATTTCTTAGTAATATTGAAAAAAGGACAACAGAGAAAGAGGAGGAGAGGTCAGCTGGCAGGGAGGAAACAGGGACAGAGAAAAAGCAGCAGCTGTTGCTGGAAGAAAAGGTCCCCTGGTTCGTTTTCTCCAGCCAGGAGAGTGCAATCAGTGCTGATGAAATGAAAAGCTGGCATGTTGGAAAGGAGATTTAGTTCTGGATCAGCTGGCAGCTTGATTGGGTTACCATAAGGATTTTTGTACAGTTTTTACAGCATTTTGTAATTCAGAGGCTCCTTTGTGTGCTTTGGTTACTGGAATATTTTAGTCTGTATTTTAGGCTAGCAATGAGTCCAAAGTGTTGACTTCCGTAGGTTTAATCCCTTTAAACACATGTAATTAGTTTTACCCCATTATCTTGAGTCTATGGCTTTTAGAAAGTTTTCTTTGAAGATAAACAGGCTTAATTTAAAGCTCCCCTTTATGGATTACTGCCTTGTCGTGGCAAAGGGGCTTGCTTAACTCAATAAAGCTATGAGCTATGCTGTGCAGGGCCACCCAAGAAGGACAGGTCATAGTAGAGAGTTCTGACAAAATGTGATCCACTGGAGAAGGAAATGGCAAACCACTCCAGTATCTTTGCCATGAAAACCCGATGGACAATACTAAAAGGCAAAAAGATATGATGCTGGAAGATGAGCCTCTCAGGTCAGAAGGTGTCCAATATGCTACTGGGGAAGAGCATAGGGCTAGTACTAGTAGTGCCAGAAAAAGTGAAGCGACTGGCCCAAAGCCGAAAGGATGCTCAGCTGTGGATGCATCTGGTGGTGAAAGGAAAGTCCGATGCTGTAAAGATCTTTTCTCCATAGGAACATGGAATGTAAGATCCATGAATCAAGGCAAGCTAGACGTAGTCAAACAAGAGATGACAAGACTGAACATCGACATCTTAGGAATCAGTGAAATGGCAAATCTAGACAGCATACTAAAAAGCAGAGACATCACCCTGCCAACAAATCACGCATATCAGTTCCGGTACCAAAAGGGTCAACGTTACATACCTACACTTTCAACCTGGTATTCTTTCCGACTCGCTGTTTCTTAACTCCGGAAACTTGATACCACGACCTCTTCTGAGGACGCTCAGGGAACCTGACGTTCCGGTTCAAACCAGTTAGTCCTAGAAGAGATCAACCCTGACTGCTCTTTAGAAGGCTAGATCCTGAAGTTGAAACTCAAATACTTTGGCCACCTAATGAGAAGGAAGGACTGGAGAAGGGCCTAATGCTGGGAAAGATTGAGGGCAATAGAAGAAGGGGACGACAGAGAATGAGGTGGCTGGATGGAGTCACTGAAGCAGTAGGCGTGAACTTAAATGGACTCCAGAAGATGGTAGACGACAGGAAGACCTGGAGGAACTTTGTCCATGGGGTCGCGATGGGTCGGACACGACTTCGCAATTAACAACAACAACAACAATTTAAAGCTAAAGTTTTTAGCAATTGCCGGAGCCTTTTGGTTTGCAACATTGTGACACGTGACACATCTGAGGCAGCTTAAAGAAAAAAAAACGCCAGAGTTTATGTGTTTCTTTATTTTGTGAGCCTTTCTTGCTTTGCACTTGATTCCTGTGTCTTTAAGGGTACAGGGAAGGGATTGGGGAGGGTGCATTCTTACTACACTGTGGAAGGAGAGCTAAGAAGGGCTGACCAGCTAGCTCAGGGGTCTACAAACTTAGCAACTTTAAGATCTGTGGACTTCAACTCCCAGAATTCCTCATCCAGCCATGATGGCTGAGGAATTCTGGGAGTTGAAGTCCACAAGTCTTAAAAGTGCCAAGTTTGAAGACCCCTGAGCTAGCTGGTAGTGGTGCATATTAATAAACATGGATAAATTCATCATACGTTTGTCAGTGCAAAGAGAAAGTGATTCAGCAAAGGAACAGTCACCAAAGAAATTAAAACTGGCACTTTTTTCCTTTTTTCTACTGTTTGTAATATTTTATTAGATTATAGAATAAAATACAAAAATACAAAAGTAAATAGTAGGACACAATGGGGAGGAAAATGGGGGGAAAAGTGAGGGGGAGTAGGGAAAAAGAACAGACTTCCTCTGTTGCAATAGAAGGAAGCATTAACAACTTTTTACTTTTCCATAATATTATAAACTAGCCATTTCTATATCAACAAATGAATTTAATCAGTAAAACCCAAAATCCCCCCTTTTTTAGTCAAGTTTTTGACACCTTGCTAAGCACTGGTGGTACTCAAATATTGTCATGTCCTAAAAGTGATACAATCTGTGAAAAGGTTGAAAAGCCCTGATCTAAGGGGCTGCCACAAAGAAGAGGGGGTCAACCTAGTCTCCAAAGCATCTGAAGGTAGAACAAGAAGCAATGGATGGAAAATAATCAAGGAGAGAACCAACTTGGAACTAAGGAGAAATTTCCTGACAGAACAATTAATTAGTGGAACGACTTGCCTCCAGAATTTGTGAATACTCCAACACTGAAAATTTTAAAGAAGAAATTGGACAACTATTTGTCTGAAATGGTGTAGGATTTTCTGGTTAAGCAGGGGTTGGACTAAAAGACATCCAAGGTCTCTTCCAACTCTATTATTCTGAAAGCACAGTTTTTAAAATTAAAGGTAATTTTAAAATTATTACCTTTAACTCCTCATAAAATCCCATAAATGAGGCATGGCAAATTTAGAAAAATATACAGACAAGGAGACATACAATACACTTAACAGGGGCAGGGGAAAGGAATTAGATCAAAGGACCAACTACTGCCTTTGGAGTCAGGTTCAGTCCCTATCCATCACATGTTTGGGAGAACATAAAACTTAACTCAGTTGTATCTACTTCCCCAAGAAAAAAAGGCTGAGAGACAAAATGACTGAAAAAGGTATTGCCACAATCTGGTTGCACAAAACTTATTAAACACTGATCAGTTGTAATATCTAAACCATATCAACTGCTGTCGCTTTTGTCGATAACAAAAAAGGGAGTGGTGATGTCATAAAGTCTACTAAGTCTTCTGGTACAAGGGGTCCTGTAACACCAGTCACTTCTTTGAGAAGACAGGCAATATTTCTGTGCCTTTCGATTCAGTTAATGTGATTGTGTATTGCTAGAATCATTGTTAGGAAATCTGACTGAATTAATGACTGATTAGGTCAAGTGTGTTATGGTAGCAGAACTGCCAGTATTAAGAAGTAAATACCTGAACTAAGCCGGGAAGCAAATTTTGAGCAGGAAAACATGCAGGAATTAATGAAAAAAAAAGGGCAGCATTTGTGCCCTGGTTGAGTTTGTCCTCCATATGCTCTCCAATAAAATGGGGTGTGATGGCTTAGTGATTAAAGGTACTGAGCTTGTCAGCTGAAAAGCTAACAGCCTGGGTCCAAGACCGAAGCGCCGTGTGTCGGTGGGAGCTCCCATTACTTATCTATTTCTGCAACCTAGCAGTTTGGAAGCATGCAAATGCAAATAGATAAATAGGTACCATTTCAGTGGGAAGATAACAGCATTCCGTGCATTTAGGCATAGAGTCATGCTGGCCACATGACCACGGAAGCATCCTTGGACAACGCTGGCTCCCTCAGTTAAGAAATGGAGATGAGCACTGCCCCCTAGAGTTGGACATGACTGAACAGGGGAAATCTTTACCTTTACCATGCTTTCCGATGCTTTTTAATTGTGCCCATACAGCCTAACAGACTCCAAAACTGGAAGTAAATATTCATGCCTCTCTGTCCCTTCTTTCAGTCATGCTAACTAAGCAAATGCAGATTTGAGTGTACCATTTTCATGTCAGGATAATCAGTAGTTTCATGCTATGGTTCCTGAAGGGAATGCAACATTTGCATTTCCAGAATTTCAAATACCTTGATACTGCATCTCCATAGGGGTTATTGAATTATTTAATAGTAATAGAGAATGAGAGAGAAAAATGTATTTGCAATTCATTGTTTCAGGGGCCGTGGTTTTTAGTATTGGCACCTACAGGCACCTACAGGTCTGAAAAAATTGCAAGTACTATAGCAGAAATACAGATTCACAAGCCTTATATGACTACTTTCATGCATAAACATGCCTCCCATAGAAGAAAATTTGATTTTATTGGAAGTCATAGAATCCAAGCTTGCAACAATTTCATTTACTTTATTTTTTTTCCTTTTGCAGTAGTAATATTGATGCAGTATGATTCTGCCAATTGTAGTTTCCACATAGAAATGGTGCATTTCTATGCTATTGAAATACTATTGCCCTAAAGTTGCACAACTGACAGCTGCTTCCCAGTCAACAGGCCACTCACCAGAAAGATGGGGTGTTCCTGCTGTCGCTGCTGGAGACCAGGGTCCCCAGATGCCATCAAGAGAGAGGCCATCAGGTTTGGAGCGAACTTGGATGTGGTATTGCTGTCCTGGAAGTAAATTCTTGAGCTGGCACATATAGCTGTTTTTCACTTCAATCTACAATAAAATAGAATAAGACTATAAATGTTTCCTCAGCTAGATTATTTTAGCAAAAAAGTATTGGAGCAAAAATAAAATCCAGCTATTATATCAAAGCCATTTTTCCTATATTAACCATACCCTGAATGGTGCCTGAATCGAATCCTCAACACCATAAAGAACTTCATAAATCAAGAAGTCTGCATAGCTGATAGATGGAGGCATCCAATTTACAAGCAACTGTTGTGCAATCCCTGGCCACTCAACTGTTATATTTGTTGGTGGAGCAATGAGACCTTAAAACAACGACAAAGCAAAACAAAAATTAGCACTCTTGCTTATCTCTATGCTATTCATGTGATGATTGAATAGGAAAGAACAGCCTTTCTAGATTGACCAGAAGGCAAACTGATCAACATATTTAGCATGCTAATTTGCTAGAGCAGAAATTGGGAATGTCTGTCACAATGCACCTGTGCCTCTTTTAGAATTGATAGTTGAACTTTCTTAAAATATCTACTAATTAATTTATTGCCTACATTTATATCTTGGGTTAATTACGCTGGGTATTTGATAATAATTAAATAATCATTTAATTGGTTTTCTAAAAAATCATAAAGGAAAGAACAACAACATACAAATGGTCCTATTTCCATGTAAAAAAGAAACCCTTCAGCAATAATAAATGAACAGAACCATTGCATGTCCTTGCTATATTTCCAAGTTCCATTGACAGAACCTTGTGTTTAAGGCCTTGCAAAAAGCTGCCAGGGTCAGGGCCACTCTAATCTTGGAGGAATGATATTTCAAAGATGGGTGCCATGACAGAAAAGTCTCTCTTCCTGTGACCTGCCAGATAACACTCCGTAATAGACAAGACCCAGCGCATGCCTCATTTGCTGGACCTATTGGGACTTAAGATGGACTCGAGGATTTGTTGAGTAAAATGTCTGCTAATAAAGAACATATTGATGGGAATACAGAAAAATAGAGAGAGAAAATAGCAATACTGTACTGCCACTGCCAGTGTGTGAACAAATAGCTCCATAATTTTCCCAAAGATTGAAAGTTGATTTATATCACCTATACATTACAGTATTTGTTTAGCAACAGTTATAGCAGGGCTTTTCAACCAGTGGTACGGGTACCACCTGTGGTACATTGGCACCTGGCAGGTGGTACGCGACCATCCTAGAAAAGTAGTAGCGGGGGAGGGGAATGAGAGCGCCGCCGGGCAGGCAGGCAGGTGTCTTGCTCAGCTGTGCCTTGGGGGGCACTTTTTTCAGTGCCATTGTAACTTTGAACAGTCACTAAGCGAACTGTTGTAAGACGAGGACTACCTGTACTTTGTCACTTTTTTCCTTTTTTTCTTTTTGGTCATCAAGTTTTTGACACCTTGCTAGGTGACTGGTGGTACTCGGATGTTGCCATATCCTAAAAGTGGTACAATGGGTGAAAAGGTTGAAAAGCCCTGAGTTATAGGAAAGAGCAGATGACATCCACCATTCATCAATTCTAGAAATCTATCTACAGCCTTCCTGTTTTTGTTGTCTTGAGGTTTGCAAACATGCTTGTAATCAAATAAGCCCCGTGACTAAGCTAAAATCAATATCCAGTCTGTAGGCCAGATGACTGCTTCTACTAAGCTTCTCCAGCTGGCTGGCTGGGGCTTGGGTAAAACACTACTCCCCTCCCATTCTTCTTCTCAGCACATTCTTCTTCTCAGATTACATCATACACAAACAATTTGGTAACAGGAAAAAAAAAACTTCCTTTCATCCTCCACTACAGGATCTTTGCTACTGGCCCTTCATGGAGGAGAAAAGAGTCATTCATAACATTTTCTGGTTCCTAAAAATACCCAAGAGGTCAGTCAAATAGTGATTGCTATTTGATAAATGGTTCTAATTCCAACTAAAATTAAGACTATTGAATCCAATTCATAAAATAACAGCTCATCTTCCATTATTCTAGTCTTGGAACCAATAGCAATAGCAATAGCACTGAGACTTATATACCACTTCACAATGCTTTACAGCTCTCTCTATTGGAGTCAGCATATTGCCCCCAACAATCTGGGCCCTCATTTTACCAACCTCAGAAGGATGGAAGGCTGAGTCAACCTTGAGCCCGTGAGGACTGAACTCCTGGCAGAGAGTTCAGTTAGCCTGCAATACTGCAATACTGCATTCTAACCATTGCGCCACCATGGCACCAGTTGAAAATTATGCACAGTTGAAACCAGCAAGGCTATTCAATTAAGGAGAGTTTCAGAGTTAGGCTGTCACCATCAAAGCATTTTTGCTATGGGTAAGAGTTTCTCTAGCTCTGGGAGAGAGGACTTTTCAAAGATTATGAGCAAACAAATGAAAGTTTTCTTTCCTACCAATAGGAGCATGTTCAGGATTTTGGATTGCAACACTAGAAAAAGGATTCATCCTTTCCTAACCACTCCCCAATTTCTATTTTATTTCTGGCCCTTTCTTGCAGCAGTTCCTTTATACTTCTAAAGCACCTATTAAATCCAACACAGCGGTACATCCTTCAGAAACATCCTGAACTGTACAACTGTACAAATGTAATCACATTCTACAGAGGAAGGCCTTTTTTTCTATCTTTATTTCATCACCTTCCTCTTTGTCTCTGCTTTATCTTTACAGTTACATTTTAGGATAAATGGCAACCAGTTGTTAGGCTGTTGGAAATATTAGGAGCAGGGCTTTCTTAGTAGTGGGTCCTCATTTTTGGAGCGCCATTTCCCAGGAAGAAAAATAAAGCATGGTTACTGCTTTTTAAAAAAAGAAAACCAAAAGTCATTTGTATTGTACTATAATTGAATTATTTTTAGTAATAGGTAGCTTTTTAAAAAATAATTGTTTAATTCATTGGTGGGGAAATGCACTGTTTTAGCCACTTGCTGTCCTTTAGCCCTTGTTTCTTCATTTGCATTTTCTATAAAACCCATCAGATCATATTGAAAAGACCGTGAACAAACCTCCAACATTTGATAGTATTGTTTTCTATCTCTCTGTGCTACATAAGATGCAAAATAGTTGTGTCAAACTTTTGAAGGCTCATTGTGCCTATTTTGAGCTTAACCATTTTCTCAGGTTCCTTGCAAAAATTTTACCCTCTCTTCTGGGGACAGATTTGGGTGAAAAATGTTCTCTTATCTTCCGAGGACATCAGTAGCATCTGATGTCTTGGAAACTGATAACTCTATGCCCCGAAAGATAACTTTAAATAAAGGCCTGGGTATTACTTATGTCATGAAATGATACTGATAGATAGATAGATAGATAGATAGATAGATAGATAGATAGATAGATAGATAGATAGATAGATAGATAGATAGATAGATAGATAGATAGATAGATAGATAGATGCTCTACCCGCGCTAAACCTCCAAGAAAGGACATCCCCTGCTATTACTTACACTGATACAGATCGTGCGGGAAGGACAACTTCTAGTAAGAACTCGGTGCCTGGAGTACATTCTAGTATAACCGGCCCAGTGACGAGATCGAAGAGTCGTGCACACGCCCTAATTAAATCTATAAAGGGACTTTCCCAGTGACCAGCATTCTAAGCCCTGAAGATGTCAGCAGATGCCGACGAAAGCTAGGCACTTTTATTGATTTCTATGTGTTTTAAAGGTTTTTAATATTCTTAAGAACTTTTATCTCTAAATTATTATTATTAAATTATTTATTGTATTCCCTGGTGCTCACGTCTATTGACTGACTTTGAACATAGATAGATAGATAGATAGATAGATAGATAGATAGATAGATAGATAGATAGATAGATAGATAGATAGATAGTTTATAACTATTATTAATTTCAAACAAGAATCTGCCAGTGCCAAATTAGTCAGAGCAGTAATTAAATTCAATTAAATCCATCAGTTAAGTGTCTATGTGATTCACAGATTCATTCCAGCAATCATCAAAATTATAATATGGAAGTCATGTTTGTTCATGACTTGGCTAAAATTGTTGGGTCAAATGCAGGTCATAGTATGAATGTTTTTTTAGGATGCTGGATTCTTCAAAGCTTTACCCAGTCCTCACCTCTTTCTCTGCTTCACATACAGTTTATGCCCTATTGGAAGAAACTTACCAACAGTGTTCACTCTGAGATACTGTGAGAATATGGTGTGATTACTAACACTATCCAACACTTCAATATTGAGTTCAATAAAGAGTTGTATGCCATAATAGTTTCCAGGAAAAGTGCAGATGTGGCGCCAACTTCCATCTATATTTTTCGTAGAGATTAGAGCACATTCTCGGCTTTTGTCTCTGCAGGGGTAAAATAGAGTAATTAGGAGTGTGATACTTCCCCAGTGTGACTTAATCTAATCTTTTTCTGAAATGGCAAAAGTGAGTTTCAATCACCCCTTTCCTACAATTCCTAGTAAAAGCACAGGTAAAGGAAACCGTTCCCCCTGTCTAGTCATGTCCAACTCTGTGGGGCAGTGCTCATCTCCATTTCTTAGTTGAGGGAGCCAACATTGTCCACAGACAATTCTGTGGTCATTTCGTCAGCATGGCTATATGCCAAGGTGCACGGAATACTGTTACCTTCCCACTGAAGTGGTACCTATTTATCTACTTGCATTTGCTTGCTTTTGAATTGCTAGGTGGGCAGGAGCTGGGGCAAGTAATGGGAGCTCACCCTGTCCTGTGGCACCGAAGTCTCAAACCCATATCACAAAGGTCAACATCTCTAACCACTAAGCCATTGTGCCCCTATATTTCCTAGATGCCAAAGTAATTTGCTTAGAATCCGCATCTAAGTTTATAAGTGCTTGGGTAAACCCTCCACCTCAGACAATTTAACCAGTCTATGTGGAAAATAACTTCCTACCCTTCGTATGTATAGAAGAATCGATATGCTCCTTTCACATGGGCTGGCTCATCCCAGAAACAGGTGAGATCCTCAAAGGTTCGAGAAAAGCAGAGAACATTTTGAGCTGTTTGGGCCAGTAGAATAGCTTCTATAAGGGGAGAGGTTTTTTTTTTTAAAAAAAAATAAAAATCAAAAAATAAATTGAGTTCCCGGTACTTTTTTAGATGAAAAGAACAACAAATTTATCCAGGGTATTGTAGTAGTCAACATTGCTGACATCCTCAACAAAATGTTTTTTGGGATCATGCTGCTACTTTTTAAGAGATCAAGCAGTTTATAATAGTTGTTGTGGACTTTGTCTGCAGATTACACTAAGCCAATCTTTTAAAACGTAGTTTGTTAAACATGCCCTAAGACGCGATTCACACATAAGCACCAAGGTGGGTTCACACATTCAATTAAACATACGCAAGCAAACGATATCATGATTTAGCAGGGTTTGGTTTTTTATATAAAATTTTATTAAAATTTTAAATACAAAATAAAAACTAATGAAAGCTAATGTTTAGAAAGAAAAGAAGGAAAGGAACAAAGATTAAAAAGTGTGAAATCAAATCGAATAAGAGAAAAAGCATTATAAAAAAGTGACTTCTGATTTTATTTTATAGAATCTATAAGTATAAATATAAAATAATGTTTCCCACAAAAAGTCAATACAGGGTTTCCAATCATCATTAAATCTAGACAACATCCTATCCCTACATCTTAATGAAAGCCGTTAATTTGGCCATTTCAGAAGTTCCATTATCTTCACTATCCATTCCTCCATTGTGAGTAAAGTCTAATATTTCCATTTTTATGCATATTGCTGCTGTCATCATATATAAAAACAAAGTTCCCTATTTTTTTTTTAACAGGTGCTTATATCCATCCAACCTAAAAGAAAAGTCTCTGGTTTCAATTGTACATGAGTTTTAAAGTATTCTATATTACTGTATGTAATTGAGTCCAAAATTTTGGGTTTTTTTTTACATATCAATTTATTTAGCAGGATTTGTGAACACAATATTCACGCCTATTTGCACAAGGGAAGGTAATGAATTTCAGGAAGAGAAACATTACAGTACTCTTTCCCATTTTACTCAGACTTTCTGCATTTTTATGAAGAGATGTGAAAACCTTTTCCCAACGTGCTGCTGTCAGGGGTCTATGACAACTCGCTACGGCCAACTCGCCATGGTCAACTTACTGCGGCCAACTTGCCGCAGAACAACTCGCCATGGCCTACTCACCCTGGGACAAGAGTTACACTAATATCAAAGAAATGGCAGAATAGAACCATTAAAGAAAGGATGCCAAAGGAGGGACGAAATGAAATCAGAATGACAAAAGTTAAATTAAATTGAATTGTTGAATTGTTCCGCAGCTAATTGCCCCATGGCGAGGTGTCCTGCAGCAAGTTGGTCATGATGAGTTGGCTACGGTGAATTGGTCCTGGCGAGTTGACCGTGGCAAGTTGGCTGCAGTGAGTTGTTCCATTCTGGCTGTTAGTAGGACACACAACATTGGTATAATGGATCGACAGAGTAATGAATATAAGAGAATAGAGAGGCTGAGTACCTTCTGTCCTCTCCAAGATGATTACTTAAGTGAACATTACTTAGGTTAACAACTTTAAGACTTATGGACTTCAACTCCCAGAAGCACAAGTCTTAAAGTTGCCAAGTTTGGAGATCCCCATTTTAAAGGGGAGAAAAAAAAATAATGGTGGCATTCAGCAATGTTGAAAATGTTAAGAGCAGGTGGCAGCATCAGGACAGTATATTAATTTTGTTGCATTTGTAATGTAGTGAAAAGACATATACTTGACATCTTTTCATGAATATAAATCTGTGCTTTGTATGGTTTTAATTTCTATTGACCACTCGTCCAGTTATAAACCTAAGTGTCATTGGTCTTATGGTATACTTGCTCTCTTTTTCAGGTAGAAATCTGAATGGAATAAACAATTATGATGATGATCTTAGAGAACATGAAGCAAAGGAGCTGTTTATTAGACCCTCGTGGTCTAGAGTAAGGGCACGGGAGAGCCTTTGTTCACAAACAAAACATTCTAAAATAATCAGGTGGTTTTGCGATAAGCGTTTGCTGAGGGCTCGGGGATGAAAGCTTCCTGCTTTAGGGAGATAGAGCTCTCAAGGAAGTGTGGAGGAAACAAGAGGATCAACTATATATTACATCTAAATGTAGACCAAAAAACCCATATGATTTTGAAAATAGAAAAACCGCCTTAGAAAGCAGAGAAAACAATTGTGTGGTTCCTTTCTCATTAGCAGAGCTGCCTGGAGATATTTTGCTGCCTGAACTGAAAGACAAGATCATCTCTCTCTCTTCTCCACCCCATATTACAGCTACAGATTGAGAGTATGAACTTAGGTTGATGTTGATGAGACAGTGTTCTATTCTTCTAGTGGCTATTGTATCTGAGGGCAGGTGACTAATTTAGGAAGACTAGGGCAAGACAGAAAAGGGCAGGTGCAGCCAGGAATCTGGCACAATTGCCTCTCCAGCATTTTTTGCCAGAGGAAAAGATTGGAGGGGCTACATAAACAATAAGAAATAGGAATATATTTGTTTCTATCCAACATGGAATGGAAATACAACACCTATTTTTTTCAAAGCCTTCAATTGAAAAACTAAAGCATTTAGAGCATTCTAGTATATGGGGTGCCCCTTTTCAACACGTTTGTGACATCTGGACTTATGCAGAAAAACAAAAAGGAATCATCAAGGCACTTTAACAGCAAAGCTTATTTTCACTCTAAGCTTTAATGTATTTCATTATGTACAACCCCAAGCCACACATACTGTACCAAATTGTACTCAGGCTCTTTTACAAAATCTATACAGCAGCTAATTTGCAGAGTCAATATTTATGTGAGTCTTTCTTTTGTTGGCATTTTTATAGAAGCAACATGCATTTTTTAAAAATAAGGACTGGATTTAAAGAGAAAAATGGAACATATAGAAACATATTTATTTACTTGTTTCAGAGTAGACGTGATATGGCAGTGCTGTATCCAAAGAATACCTGCTTTTGATTACAATATGAAATAATTGAGATTATGATGGTGGACATTTGTTTACTTGCCCATTAAGGCATTATGTTTCATATTCCAGACACTAGTCTAAAACACTTTGGCCAATTGGCTTTAATAGAAATATCAGTCATTAGCTCCAAGTTACATTGACCCATCCCATATTTTTATCCTAACAGATTTTCCTAACAGTTTATTTACCTTCATTCACAAAATAGATTTTCCTTTGTACTAAAGAAAGAGAGCCTTGTGGTATTAGTAAGGAAGGGCCCCTGGAGTTGATTCCTCTTGCTCAGTGTCCAACTTCTGTTACCTCTGAATTGCTTTCTCTAAACATGGGCCACAGCTGGACAAATACATCAGTTCACATAAATGCAGAAGTCTGAAATGCTGCCTCAATATACATTAAGACAATAACCTTTTTGCACTTACAGTATTCACTGAGATTTTGTTTCCTCTCTAGGCATCTGCTTTGCTACCCTTTCCTTCCAGCATCACTTCTTTTGCAGGTTATCACTGACTCTCAGAATGGAAGAAGGACATGTTGATGATGTAAAAAGAGAGCTAAATTGTATACAGTGGTGGAGTTTTGTTTTCAGTTCTCCCACATTGCTGAAAGGATATAGAGATCCCTCTTTACCAGATACAGATATGTTTGAAAAGTGAATGTGCCTAAGTTCTGTTTACAATTAATAGACTGTTTATCCAGAAAATTCTCCCAAATGGATTTCCTAGTTTCAGAGTTATGTCCAGAAATTAGCAATGTCAAATAAACTGACTGAGATGCTTCCAGAAATCTTAACTTCATCCCCCGTCCCAGACATTACAGTTAAATAGTTATGTACCCACCTGATTGTGCTATATTCATATTTAGATTAGCAGAACCCCAGAAAAGCAGCAAAAATCATGCATTCCTCACAAACAAAGGGAAGTATAACAATATTTATCCTTACCTTTATCTGTAACAAGAACAAAGTGGAGCATACGTAAAATGGTGAGCAGGAGCATAACAAGGAAAGGAAGTGGTGTCATTGAGCACAAATTGACTGCCATTCTAAAGGTGATTAACCATTACCTGTTTAAATATCTAAACTGCTGCTAAGTATGATCACATAACCTGATTATAAGTTATGGACATCAGAATGCACAGGAGGTCTGGACACTTGCTGGGCATGGTGGGAGCAGTAACTGCTCAATCTGATGTTCCAGTTAAGAAGGCTGAACTCCAAAACTCTTGAGTCTCTGCTGTTGGACCTCTGTAACGGAAACTTATCTGTAGAGTGTTAGCCCAGCTGCTTAGAGGAAACTTTGGTAAGAGCCTTCTATAGTTCCAGTCTTCTGTCACTTCCCCAGCCCCAAACCACTATGCAATGGCCTGCAAGAGGGGAAACCCTGCCTAGAGGCTGTTGCTATCAGATAGGGTGAATGTCCTGCCCTTGTGGTGGTGCCTTGGAGGATAGATTCTTATACAGGAAATAAACATCCTCTGACCTTACACAGGATAGTATGAGGGGCAGACAAGTGTTGGTGATGGTCTTGAAATAGAAACAATCCATATAGGTCAACAACCCTCATTAGTGAAAGGGGACACTTTCCCCCCACTGTTCACAATATTTAAGGATGGGGAGCAATGTGATAGAATATGAATAAGTAAAAGCCATATTTCTGGAGAACCAAGAGAAGTAGTTGACTGGCATTGACTACCATCTTTAGGAAATTTGAAGTGAAGATGCTCCATCACTAGAGGTTTTCAAGAAAAGATTGGACAACAATTTGTCTGGGATGGAATAAGGACTCCTGTCATGGGCAGAGGATTGAACTAGAACACCTCCAAGATGCCTTCCAGCCCTATGATTCTATGAAGAGGAGACCTCAGTCAAGTCTATCCTCTATGCTATTCATTAACACATTACTTTTATTACTTTGGTTGTTATTGTTGCTTTCATATTTAAGTAAGGATATAATCTGCTGTCGTTGTCATCATCATCGTCATCGTCATCATCATCATCATCATCATCACAGTAGAAAAGTGATGGGGGGACATCATCCCCCATATCCCATATCCCATCACAACAGATACCTCAAGACCTGAATGCAAAGACAAATTTTAGAGACCTTGGGGGGGGGGGGGAGAAAAGGGCCACAATAGAGATAATGTTTCTTCTTCCTATGTTATGCAAAAACACAGTCTCAAGCCATATTGTTATTTAAGAGTAGCAACCAATTTCCACCTTAATTTATTATGTATTTGGTTGATGTCTTTCCTTCAGAAATTCAAGGTGATATATGTAGCACTCTCTCCTCCAATTTTATTCCACAATGACAATCCTGTAAGATAGGTTGGACTAAGATAGAAGGGCCCAAAGTCTCCCAGGAAGCGTCTACAGACAAGAGTCTTCCCAGTCCTAATGTAATACTTTAAACCAGTGTTTCTCAACCTTGGCAACGTTAATACGCATGAACTTCAACTTCCAGAATTCCCCAGCCATCCTACATTATACACTGCCTGTGAAAGAGGACAGCGGGGATTGATGATCTTTAGTTGCCTAGGAATCAAATGTTTTATAGAGAATGAAGACCTTGAGGGTCAGGGATGGTTATATCACACATGTGCCCAGGCCAGGATTTTCAATTTTAACCTGGATTTGTAGGTTTTTCATTTTAAGTCACTATCTCATTAATTTTAAACAATTTTGATTGCAGGGGACTTTGAAGACCACAACAATGATTCAGGAAATCACATCTATATGTAAAAATCAAGACCAGTTAAAATATTTGGGCCTCCAAAGCAGAGAAGTCAACAAATCTGTTACCACATATTAAAAGGAAAATATAAAATAAATATCAATTAATGATTCACATACAAATGCTTTATAGAGCTCCAAGTGTGTATTGTTTGAACAGAGAAGTGGGAGGCGGCATTAAATAAGGCTTGTGCTAAACATTCAAATAGTGTTCTTAAGTGTATTAGTGCTTTCACTCTTGATAGATTCAAATAGGCCCAATCTTCAGAGGGTTCCTGCAGGTTTTGAAAATTCTCCCTGGCTCTCTGCCCCTTTGTATGCATATAGAACTTTTTTGCCAGCAGTCATAGTGAAAGTGTTGTCTGTGTGTGCATATCCACACGAGGAAACAAATTGAATGAGGAAAAAGTGGCATCAGCTTTCCAAAGGACATGGTTATTTCAATGCTTTGAAGAGGACTGGCTATCTCATATACATGTTTTACAAAACTCTGTTCCAAATGCTTTGCACAATTCTAATTCTTAACCTTACTCCAAGCTTCAAGATGCATCTGCTATTTTTTCCCCTGCAGTTTTCCTTCATGATTCCTGGCCCCCTCCTTCAATTGTATTTAAACCTAAGAATGTACTCTCAAGAAGCCAAAGGAACTTTTCTAACAGTATTCTGCAATTAATTACATTATACAGTGTCAGAATTTCTATTGCCTCCTAACTGAGCCTTGAGTCATTTCCAACGTTTCGTTATGGAAAAAATATTTCCTTATTAAACAGATTTCACTTCACTACAAAGAATATCAGCTCTGTGAGTGCAGTTTTCATTGATTCAGCACATCCTTATCCGAATGCCCAACAGCAAAAAGCTTTAGTCAATGATAGTAGAAAATACATGGAGGTAAATATGCTAAACAAGGCTAGGGATTTCCCTGGGTTTAATGAAGAAGCTACAATCTTCATTCTTAACTTGAAAAAAGTAACCATGCAAATACAGCTGGCTTCAGATTTCTCAGACAAGAATAATAATTACCAAACATGTTATACTGAAATACTGTTATGACTCTACTGCCTTTCTACCCTGAATGCAAATGAATAGTAGACCTTACGGGTGATTTGCAGGAGATCAAAGTTAATGTGCAAAGTTCAAATTACTGCCTACTATATGGACTACCTTTAGGACTACCATTAACAAAGTTAATGTGCAAAGTTCAAATTACTGCCTACTACCATGACTACCTCTCTAGAATACAATTCTCTGATGAAGAAAGAAAGTGAGTGACTCTATTCCCTTTCCAAATAGAGACTTTATTCTTTTTCCAAGTAGAGTGACACAGAGTGACTATATATTCCTTTTCCAAATGAATTCTTGGCTTCAGCACTAACATGGTTCATGACCTATCTCTCTCATGACAAAGTAATCAGGTGAGACTCATATGGTCATTTTGTACTCAGTACTATTTTACCTCTGCTTTAACACTTTAAAAATGGTATATGAATATTTTAAATATATAAAATATACCAAAAGGTTTAGCCCACTCTATGTCCAAAGTCACTCTTAACATCAGAATATTTCATGCCAGTTATGATGTGATATTTCACTCAAAGAATGTCTTCAAACTAATCGGTGCCCCTCAAAGTTTCTTCATGTCAGGTTCCTAGTATAGAATTTCTGTCTTGTAGAAAATATAGTGACCTAGCCATTCTTTTAATCAACAAATTATTTAACTTCTTGCATTATCTTCACAGAAGACAGATAGGAAGGCTGAGGGCATGAGATGGAATAACTGACAAGTTTATTTTTCTTTCTCTGGAGAGGATAAATCGATTTTATAAATTTGAGATTTGTGTGTATTTAGATACTATACGAGAGAGCAGCAAACATTGACAAGGCTGCTGGAGAGCACTAACAAGTATAGTCAACCTGTCCTAGAAACTTCCTTGGCATTCCTGCATTCATTCCTCCACAGAGATATCAAAAAACAACTTAAAAGATTTTTAATCTTACTTATGCAAATTTAGTAATGAATGAGCTGCTCATCTAGAAATGTACTAAGTCCTATTAAGGATAAGTATCGTGAGAGAGCAAAAAAGTAATTTGAAGTTTTTAATTAGTAGTTAGGCAAATTAACTAGACATAGTTTTTTTTGATAGATAAAAATAGTATTGTGTTTCTGTTTAAATATTGATGAATTGATTATGTGCCATTAAATTGGTGTCTACTCTTAGCAGCCTCATAAATTTTCTTCATAATGATCTATCCCTGGGATAATTTGAGTGTTAAAAGTATATTTCTAAATGATCACCTATAGAAAAAAATAAATTTCAAACTGAATACATTAGCACCTCTTTTGTTCTCCTTTTTGGTGAGGCATTTTCTTCCTGTTGGTCATTTTTTTAAGTGGAGAAACGGTCACATTTATGTGGTTTATATGCCTGGCAAACATTTGGGGCCATATGTATACACACTACTGCTAGGAGTAGCAGTTATATTTATAGTTGTGCTCATCTTTTAATACCAATGAATTATTTTTACTTGTAATTTATATCCATGTTGCCACCAATGGCCAAAATTGAGCCATTCTTTCCTGTAAGAATTTGGGTGTCTTTGGCCTGCCTTCACTTGCCCTAAAGATAGCACAAATATGTGCTAGAACCATATTGATTCTTTATATCATGACATTGTCTCCATTCATCCCCAGCCAGTGCATATGACAGGCTTTGGCCTTCCCATTTTCATACCTCATAGTTCTTTATCCAAAGCATCTCAGTTCAGGTTTCTCCAATTTTGTTCCTTACTGTGTCCTTAACTATTTACAATAAATCACTCATCCTAGAACAGTGGCAGAAACCTACAGTCATGATGGCTAATGCTTTGATGGATTTTACAATCAGCAAAAATTACCTATGTAAAGACAAACTATAGGCAGATCTATGCAGGTTATGTGGTTGCTTCAAGAGCATTTTTATCATTAATCACATATAAGTGAACTGATGTATTAAAAGGATAATGCTGTACTGACAAATTATCTGCATGTTTAAATAAAAGTAATTGCTATCCTCAAATAGCTGTTGCCAAAGAACATAAGAGGCTTGTTCTTCAGGAGATATTGAACCCATCTTCTAGGAGAAGCATTGAAATGCCAGAGCATCAGACCCATTCTTCATATATCCATGCATAAGCCCATCACGTAATCTGAATTTACTCTGTTCTAACTGTGCTGATGAGCTGGGAATAGAAGATAGTTTAAATCTCATAAGGCCCAAAGCTCATAACAAAAGGAGGGGCAGCATATGTAGAATTGTCAAAGAGGTTAAATTAAAAGACCATCAGAGAGGACTCTGGGAAGAAGCCTGGAAATAGAAGTGATAAATAGCATCAAAGGTTTACCTGCTGTAAAAAAATCTCGAGCAGATAATATGATTCAAATATGATTTATAGAGGGAT